CTTATTAGTAGCTAAAAACACTAGAACTCACACCAATTGGTTGGGGCTCAAAAAAACAGGATTTTCTTTTTTAAACCCCTGTTTTTCTTCTCATAACCATCCTGTCCAACATCCTCTCCAAACACACTTCACCACTTCCATTTTCTCCCTTTCACTTTTGTAATGCCACTACTTTTCATTTTAACATCCTTTGAGCTTCTCTAACCCTTTTATCACTTTCACTTTTCCAACTAAAAGAAATTACAGCTAGTGCCTGGTTTAAGTACAATCCATAAGAACGGAGCCTACTGTAGCAAAATTTGAGTTAAATATACAATGGTTCGAGTTAATTACATACTAATACTTAGACAGTATTATACAATAATACTGTTCTGGCTTACATACAAATTCAGCTTAAGGAAAGACCTTGGGAATGCAACTAGTTCATAAACTGGGGACTATCTGTATTAACCCCCAGGCTGCCTTGACCATTTTAGAATGTTAGGGCAGGCTTTTACTTTTGAGGGTTAGCACTTTGTTTCTTGAGCTGCTAGCAAAAATGGGCATCATTAAAAAAAAAAAAAAAAAGGAAATGAAATGAAATTGCTTTTTCCAAAGGTGAAGGAAGTTCAGTGAAATTCTCATATGTGGTACATTGGATTCTTGCAGTTACCTTAGTTATAAGGTAATCAAGGGCAGTGTGCAGGTGTCCTGCCTTTCACTGTAGAATCATTTTGCCACAGTTGGCAGTGCATCTGGATTTCTTTATTTTAGTTCAGTTCCAAAGGTATACCTCCATCATGAGGCATCTCCTTCCTATGAGTCTTTATAAAGCCTGAGCACCTGAGAACCTGCAGAGGGCTTAGAGATGGGTAATAGAAAACTATCTTACCTGCCTCCTTTTTGCAATGAGACTAAAAATAAATGGCACCAAAAGAGATTCTAAAGAAATTTTAAAGAACCAAATCATGAAGTAGGAAAAAAATATATATATTTCAGAGAAGACTATTTTCAGGAAACTACAAGTTTTTGAAACAGTAAACATTTAGGGAACTGTTCAGTTTTTATTTAGACTTTTTCTATTAAAACAGAAGAATTTCTATACATTTAGACCCATGGATTAAATCAATTGGTTTTTATATCTGTTCTTATCCAAAAGATGAACTCTATGTTGATTATGGAACTCAAACATGTTTAACTGGTGGAAAACCTGTTGTCAATTGTTCTCTGCCCTCTTCTTTCTCTCTCTGTGTTTGTATTGTATTGTCATGATTTCAATCCTTCCAAAATAAATAAATAATAAATAAATGGTACCTTTCACTGATCAAATTAATTTGAAACTGACAAAGTGCAATATATAATTTTAGCATGGTTTAAAGTCCTGCATTGCAAACTATTTTGACAGCTGTGCATGCCAGCTTCACTTATCTATGATCAACATATTGCTTGGGTGTGATTTCTATTCCATGTTTGTGATTTTTTTAATGTATTTATTTAGTTTTCAGTAGCTCTGTCCTTTTTTAAAATTTTTTATGAACAATTGCAAAATACTACAAACTAATACTTGGAAACATCTGATGTAATTTACTTCATGAAAAATCTATGACACTCTTACTATTTAACCAGGCTTACTCAGAAATTTCCAGTGGGTTTTACAGCAACGTTTTCAATAATATTCATGCCAACACTGAAAAACTAGCAAAGCTAAACTAAACAAAGATAATTTTACATGAATCTATGACTGCAGATGTTTCATACAAACTAGAAGAGGGCTGTCCTGTGCTCATGTTTCCAACATTTTTATAGACAGCATAGATGAAGAGGTATGATAAAGCTTATCAAATTTGCACAAGACATCACATTGGGAGGAACAAAATTTAAAATGATGATAGGTAGAACTGAGCCAAAACTAACAAAACGAATTTCTACTGAGAGAAATATAAAATTCTGCATTTCAGTGGGATGTTGGGGTGGGGGAAATCACATGCATAAATATAGAAGATTTGTTGGTTGATTGAACTGTAGTCCATATGAAGATCATTAAGGAATTGGCAAAGCACAAGCTAAATATCAATTGAGAGCAGCAGCAACAAAAAAAGTGTAAGAAATTCTACTCTTCATCAACAAAAGAATAGGTAACATTCTGTTTTGTGTTGATTGAAGTTATTAAGGCACATTCTTGGATATCAGTAACCTACAGCTGAAAAATGGACAGCTAAGAGGAAATGTTAAAGCCTTTTACAAATACCTGAAGGATCATCACATGGTTGATGGACAGATCAACAGGTTCAATTTTTTTTAAACTAAAAGGTGTTTTTGTTTTTGTTTTGAAACCTAAATATTTGGAGAAATTTCCTGATGGTTGGAACCATTTGACAGAGGAAAGTTCTTGGAAGGGATTGGATTATATTCATTTTAAGGAGAGATTTTTTATCAAGATTGCAATCCAACTGAGAGCACCTCTTTAAGAATATAGTATCTGCATTTTCTCATCAACAAATGTATCTTTGCAATGTGGGCTACATTTAAAACATGTGCACACATTATTTTGACCTTTGGCTGGCACTATGGCTGGCACTAATACAAGAACAGCATTGAAAAATGTGGAGTCAAAATGTTTGGATCCTTTAAAAAAATGATAATATGTTAAGCCTATCCCATGTTTGTATTGTCGAAGGCTTTCACGGCTGGCATACGATGGCTAGTGTGGGTCTTCCGGGCTGTGTGCCCGTGTTCTTGAAGTTTTGTTTCCTAACG